GCCTGAACCCTGAAGGCAGCATGTGCCTTTTTCCTACATTTCCATCCGCAGATACAGCAACGTGGAATTTAAACACCTATTTTAACCATGTTTTACTCAGAGCAAACCACCTCTTGTGTGCCTGGATTGTTTCGGTTTGTGCATACCAGTAACAGATGGTGCATGTACATTGATTAGCGATGTGATGGTGTGTACTCTGCATCTGATGGTGTGGAAGGGTGGGAGAGGGCAGGCGTCTCGTATGAGAGACCCTGCAGCTTCTATCTCGCATCTCTCACTGCGTGGAATTTCACACCCCGCTAATGACATGATGCCACATGCAGTATGTGGCAGACACTTTAATCCAGTCATTGATCATATGGACTTGAAAAGGGCAACAAATATGCTGGCTGGAACGAAATCTAAGAGGACGATTGTTGCAGTGTGACTTTTCTCTCTCTCTTTCTGAACGTCTGGTATGAAGCCTTGAGTTGAGCATTTTCACCGTTGCCATTTAGTATTTTGACAGTGAAAGTAACCAGGGAGGTTTTTATACACTTTCAAAGGTCAAGAGTTGCTGGATTAGGGCATAAATGCAAAATGCAGGATTCTGAGAGAGGTAGATGAACTAGAAGCATTTTATTACAGCTGGTAAAAAATCCACAGAGTGCAAAGGTCCACAAGCAAAGAAAAAAAAAGAATCCAAAATAGGAAAACACCAAGAGGGAAATAGATGCTCTGACAAAGGACAAGGGAATTAGACACAGCTGAGGAGTGAAGCACAGGTGAAGCCAGTTAGGATAACGACACAGCCAAGTAAAACACAGGAGACGATGAAGATAAACTGACAGGAAAACAAGGAAACTAAGACAGCAGTAAGAAAACTATTAGTTTTATACAAACAGTAACTGCAAGTGAGATCACTAAAGAAAAGCACAGATGATAATATAATCATGTGAAGAGTCAAAGTCAAGCAGAGAACATTCATCATAAACAGAATTAACAGGTTAACCCCCCTATTGTTTGAGAATATACTTAAGAACAAAATATATTTGTCATTGAATGCTGTTACATTCTATATCTTTATTGTCATTATAAATACATGAAATATAGGGAGATTAGGTGCCTTCCTTACGGTGGCGGTAACACAATTGCATGGGAACACCATCACATGTGTGGCAATATTGCACGTCTTTTACACATGGTGCTAGGTGGTGTATAATGCCCTGATGGCTACTTGCTTTAATGCTCCTGTTATGACTCCTGTTCAGCCAAGAACATTTTTTTTTAATGTTCTTGGCTTTCCTACGGCAGTGGGACCTGTACAGTTCTTCAAGCGAGGGTAGAGGACAGTCGATGGTTTCCTGGGCAGTCTTAATGATTCACTGGAGTGTTTTTCTCTGTGCTGCTGTGGAGCTGAAAACCACACACAGAGGCAGTAGTAAAGGATGCTCTCAATAGAGTATTGGTAGAAGGACACCCACAGTTTTTGAGAGATGTTATTTTTCCTGATGACACTCAGGAAATAGAGTCTCTGCTGGGTCTTCTTTGCCAGCTCTGCCATGTTCCTGAAATCCACAGTGAGCTCATTGGTCTTAGTTGTGTTCAGGATCAGGTAGTCTGTGCACCATGCTGTCAGTC